ATTTTTCAGCAACTGGTGAAACACTCACATAAGACTTCAGAGCCAAGTTTTGACCATTTCCCCTTCCACAGTGACCAAAAACGATCTCTAAGATCAGAGGAAATCATATGTATTCAGGTAGGTATGGTGATATTCTGTCTTCAAGAGTTCTCATTTTTGAAAGAGGAGTGTCTCAGGGGCTTCTGTGGGGTGCAAGAGCCCCACCTTTCAGGACGTACTTGGATAGGTTTCTTATCCCTGGTTCCATTCTTTCAATAGGCACAGGGCTCAAGCCTTACACGCTGCCTCTTTGGGACTCAGCTTCAGTCTTAACCCCTACCCTTTTTGCTTAAACCAAACACTGCTTTTGCAAGCAAAGAAAATGGCCCTGAAGGCAGGATCATGACTCTGTGTTTAGAATATTTCCTCTCCACCTAGGGATCCAGGGTAAGGTAAGTCTCCTCTTTGCTGCTGGCAGTGGACATTTCCTATATTCAGGTGAAACTAAGTTCAAGTTTGGGTCAGTAGAAGACATAATGGGAAATAGCTGGACTTTGGAGCTGGTCATGCTGGAAAAGTGTGCTCAGTGTTCCAAAAAAGTGGGGGAAGATGTACATGGTTATGTACTGATGACTTCAGAGACTCCTGTGTCCTAGCTCTTGTTCCTGTCTCTCATTCTTACTGTGGGATTCTTTGGAGACTGTCTTGAGATATTTGCCACCTGTCAACCCTGACAGTTTTATCAATGGTCCAGCAGGTTTGAAGGAACAAGTGGAGTGGCTGAAATCTGAGACCCTGAGTGTCCAGCTATCTGAACAGGGAGTTGAAGACACCAGTCTCTTTATCCTGCCATAGGCAGCATGCAGAGCAGGGCAGGGTTTTCATCTTGCAATAACCTCATCCAAGTTGGACCAGAGGAGTTCACATTCATAGTCAGCATGTTGTGACTGGTACCCAAGCCCTGGATCCCTCAATGGCATTGATATCTTAGGTAGAGCTTCCTATTACCCTCTGCTCCTGCTCAACCAACACAGTCCAGGATCTCTATAATAGGTCTCTTAAATAAGCATATTAAGGAATCCACGGTAGCTGGGGCCATTCAGGGAAGATCAATATGCAAGGGGACAGCCCTGTTCTTCTCACTGGATTTCTATGGAAGATTTCTAAGCAAACCTAAAGTTACCCATTTGAACATCAATTGAATGCAGAGACCCCACAGGGACACTCTTGAAAGACATTCCCTGGCCTAGAAAACACAAGTTGAAGGAACTCACTCTGCCTCTTTCCCTTTGTACTCTTTATAACATATATTTGTGAGAGGAGACAAAACTCGCACCTGTTGAGGTGTGGGTATGAAATGTCCATGGGATACAGAGTGTGACGGCTAATCTTGGTTGTCAACTTGACGACATCTGGAGTCAGCTAAAACCTAAATGGCTGCACATTCCTGAAAAGTGTTGATTGAGGTTCCTGTCCTACCAGGTCTCACATCTGTTAGTCCCAAATAAATGTACAGAGGCCTACATTAATTATAAATGGATTAGCCTGTTAGCTCAGGCTTCTTATTAACTCTTATAACTTATATTAGCCCATAATTCTTGTCTGTGTTAGCCACGTGGCTTGGTACCTTTTTCAGCGAGGCAGTCACATCTTGCTTTCTCTGCATCTGGGTGACAATTGTAGACTAACCTTTCCTCTTCCCAAAATTCTCCTGTTCTCAGCACCCCACCTCTACTTCCTGTCTGGTCATGCCATTTATACTTCCTGCCTGGCTACTGGCCAATCAGCATTTTATTAAACAAGCACAAGAAACAAATCTTTACAGGGTAAAACCATTGTTCCACACCAGGAAAACATTTTCTTAATCAGATTATTTGAGGCAGGAAGACCCACTCTAACCCTGGGTCACACTTTCTGATCGCAATCTGTATGGGAGAAGGAAACTTTTTATTTTTTCTGCCAGCTCACCTTCATTCTTACTGGCAAGTTAATCTACCCTGTTACTGCAACCAGCATAAATCCAGCTTCTTCAGGAATCTAACATAGACTGAGGACCAGAAGGTCTCTAGGAATCCTGTAAATCTCCAGTATCATAGTGAGACTGGAGAGACATGCAGCCTTCTGACCTGAACAGTTATGGGATTCCTAGCCTTTCTGGAGTGAGGCATAGTTAGACTACCTGGACCACAGATGGACCAATCTAATAATTACCCTTTAAATATATATTTGTCTATTGATTCTGTTTTTTTAAGAGAACCCTGAACAATACATTTAGAATATGTGTTCTCAGAATCAAAGCTAATACAAAGGAGGATACTAGACAATCTCCAGGATGTGCTGTACTTAGTCAATGAGATATTATTTATGTAAGATTGCCTGAGAGAGCCTCAGCTGTGACATCTGTGACCACAACTCAACCCTCACTTTCTTGGACCTGTGTTGGTTACTTTTAAATATCAACTTGCACAACTGAGAAGTGCTGGAGAAGATAATAGAGGGATGAACAGTCTGGGGCAGGTTGGCCTGTGGGTATGCCTATGGGTGTTTGCCTTGATTATTAATTGAGGTGGGAAGTCCCACCCTGAATGTGGGTGGCATCATTACCTAGACTGGGGCTTGAATTGTGTAAGAGTGAAGAAAGCCAGCTAAGCATGAGCAAGCAGGCAGCATGGGTGCACTCATTTCTCTGTTCTTGACTGTTGTGGGACATTTGTTCACACTGACAATCCAAGACTTTTAATAAAGTTTGACCTTGAATGAGGGAGAGGAGTTAGCAACTAGCCAAACAGAATTAGCCATAGAGGTTTTGGAGGACCCAAGAGGCATATAGAGAGGCACAGAAAGTAGTAGGAAGTAGTTTAGAAAGATTCATGGGCTCTTTTGGATTGAGGAAGGGGTGAGAGGGAAAGTCATGGGTTGCTTATCCACCGCTGGAGAAAAATCTGATCAATCAGATTTTTACCCTGATATTTGCCTCCTGAGTTTATCAATAGTATAATAATATAAGTAAATGCTTTACTTGACTATGGATGTGATGTGACTAGCTACTTGGAGTTCCTGCTTTTACTTCACAGAAATGGTAGAACTGTATGCCAAGTACACCCTTCCTCTCCTATGTTGCTTTTTATCAGCTAAACAGGGATGAGAATTTAACATGGGATGTTTTGCTTCTGGTTAGCTCGGCCAAAGCTGCATTAACAGACTCCAACACAGGGCACCTGAAGTCCTGATGTTCTATGTCAGTCTTTCAAACTTCCCTTCCTGTCTGTCAATCTCTGTTACACGCATGCACGTAACAAGTGTACTGGTGACTCACTTTGCTATTCCAAGCTCTGAATAAATGGACCTATTTGCTTTCTCTGGATTGTCTGTTTATTTAAACATGCTGAGCACCAACTGTGGTCTAATTTTTTTTTGATTTGAAAATATCATGACTGTTTACTAAAAAGAAATGGGTAGACAAGAGACATTGTGTGCGACATTAATTTGAGAATAATTGAAACGTGGCCCCAAGAGGCCTCTATCAATTATAACCAAGAAAACAAGGTTGTACTCCCAATTTCTTCTTTTTTTAAATTTATTTATTTATTAAAGATTTCTGTCTCTTCCCCGCCACCGCCTCCCATTTCCCTCCCACTCCCCCAATTAAGTCCCCCCCCCCAAGCCCGAAGAAGTCTAGTAAGTTGAGCATCCAAACTGCCTAGGCTCCCACAAAGCCAGTATGTGCAGTAGGATCAAAAACCCATTCCCATTGTTCTTGAGTTCTCAGTAGTCCTCATTGTCCGCTATGTTCAGAGAGTCCAGTTTTATCCCAGGCTTTTTCAGACCCAGGCCAGCTGGCCTTGGTGAGTTCCCAATAGAACATCCCCATTGTCTCAGTGTGTGGGTGCACACCTTGCGGTCCTGTGTTCCTTGCTCATGCTCTCTCTCCTTCTGCTCCTGATTTGGACCTTGAGATTTATGCCTGGTGCTCCAATGTGGGTCTCTGTCTCTGTCTCCTTTCATCGCCTGCTGAAGGTTAATATTCAGGAGGATGCCTATATGATTTTCTTTGGGTTCTCCTTATTTAGCTTCTCTAGGATCACTAATTATAGGCTCAATGTCCTTGGTTTATGGCTAGAAACCAAATATGAGTGAGTACATCCCATATTCCTCTTTTTGGGTCTGGCTTACCTCACTCAGGATAGTATTTTCTATTTCCATCCATTTGTATGCAAAATTCAAGAAGTCCTTGTTTTTTACTGCTGAGTAGTACTCTAATATGTATATATTCCATACTTTCTTCATCCATTCTTCCATTAAAGGGCATCTAGGTTGTTTCCAGGTTCTGGCTATCACAAACAATGCTGCTATGAACATCGTAGAGCATATACTTTTGTTGTATGATAAGGCCTCTCTTGGGTATATTCCCAAGAGTGGTATTGCTGGGTCCAGGGGTAGGTTGATCCCGAATTTCCTGAGAAACCGCCACACTGCTTTCCAAAGTGGTTGCACAAGTTTGCATTCCCACCAGCAATGGATGAGTGTACCCCTTTCTCCAAAACCTCTCCAGCAAAGGCTATCATTGGTGTTTTTTATTTTAGCCATTCTGACAGGTGTAAGATGGTATCTTAAAGTTGTCTTGATTTGATTTTTCATGTTTGATCCTGGGATCAGAAAAAAGGCAACCATTCTTTTTTGCTTACAAAACTCTCAATCTGGTGAAGAGATCAAGATTTAAACTCAGGAGAGCCAATAGCAGCATCCACAGTCTAGACAAAGGATGAGAATAGCGAAGTAGGTCAGACATAAGAGGAGAGGACATGGTGCATTTGTGCTTAACTGGAGGAGTTCATGCTCATTCACATTCTTGGAAATACTTCTGACCAAATTAAATACATGGGTAGGCTGATGTTGATGCAAAACCCAGCTCTAATGTAGGAGGAGATAAAAGGTAGTTGATTTTTTTTTTTAAGAATTGAGTGCGTGTTATTTCCTCAGTGGAGGGGTCGAGACTTGAATACTTGAAGGTCTTAGGAGTTCTACTGAGCAGCTTGAAGAAGTCTCTCTTCCCTCTGCTTCCAGATCTTCTGTTTGAATTCTTCTAGCTCCTGGCACTGAGCCTCCTTCTTTGGTGGCCACAGCTCCTTCTTGCGCTGGACAACATAGTCTTCAAACCACTCTTCCTGATTGGAGATCCAAAACATAACCACGGGGAAAGTGAGGTAGAGTGACATCCGAAACACCTCCAGCTTGCAAGGTAGTTCATTCTTGAGCCAAATATGCATCCCATGGTTGTCCCAAATAACATGTTCCAATGTAGAAATGGTTTTATGAACTTTTAATAGTTACAGAATAAAAGAAAATCATAAATTGAAGTTTTTTTTTTCAAGTACAATATTCAGGAAACGAGGTAGGTGGATTTCAGCAGAATGGAGACATCGCTGTTACTTCAGAAGCTTCACGATGCCATTCTTATCTTTGGGGTTAGTGATCTGTTAACATATTTCAAATCATTCATTTGATCATCATAAGGATGTTAGGCTAAGTGCAGAGGGGGCAACAAATGACTGTTAAAAGCTAAAATTAGCCCAAGATAATTTGGTCCTGGACCTGTAACATTCGCATTCTCCACAAGCATGGAAGTCCTAACTGACCAGCCACCTTGAAGGATCTTTAACACGGGTTTGGTGTTTTACTGGGAACTTCACTTCATGCAAGATTCAGTAGTAGACTGTTGTAAAGCATCAATTATCCATTTAAAAATGCCCTTGCACTATCACATGGGCACATGAATGAAAGGGATTTACATTATGCCCACATGTGCACATGCAGAGAGGTACCTGGAGGTCCCACAATGAGGGTTTTGTTGGAGTGGGTCTCAGAGAGTCCAAGTCATGAGCTGAGCTCTGAGGATCTATTTCTTGCATGGTCTGGTCACTGTCTGAGAGAACTAGAGAGGGTCTCTGCTTATGAATACTCTTCAAAAACAATTACATAAAGGGAGAAGCTTTGGGAAGGCACTTGCCAAAATTTTTGCAGAAATTTTGTTCTTGTAAATAACTGGAAAAGGCTGCTAATACGAGGCAAAAAAATTTAAGAGCAAAAGAATAAATAGCCATTTGATCTGGTGTTTCCTCTCTCCTCTTGACAGAAGAATTTTTAGTCAATAATGTCCTTGGTTTCGATTTAATGAGGTTTTAACCAGGCCCACGTTAGATGTGTTATTTTCCATAAAGCTTTCAAATAAAGTCAAGAGATAAAAGCTACTTGCCTTCAAAGAAATTCGACTTTCTTCTATTTAGCATATATTTAAGTGGCATAGATTCAGACATTCTGTATCAGGTTTCACGGAAATCCACCTTAGGAGTTCCTTTGTTTGTTTCAAAGTCCCTGTAAATCACTGTCTTCAGGGATATAATTAGCTTTTGGAACATAATGAATGACACCGCCTAGATAAACATGTGCAGAATTGTCTTAATTTACAGTCTGAACAGTTAATGCAGATCTAGAAAACAGGCATGTAAAAAAGAATGAACTTTAAAAAGAGATGGTAAGACTAAAAAAATGCAAACGGATTTAAGAAATGGGAAGTCAGGTTCACTTCCGGTTTGTAGTTCACGATAATGCTAATTCTTGTCACAATGGTCTCCAGGTCTTTAGAGAGGTCCAGCCCTTGCCTGATCAACACTCCTTACAGCTGACCAAGCCAGAGGCAGGCGAAGAATTGGAGGACATTTTGGAGGAGAGAGGAAGGCTTGGGTTGACTTGATAGCAAGCCTCTGGCTTCTAGGACATTCCGACTGAATAGAGACCCCCAGGTCTGAGTTACTAAAACTGGATATGTGTTGTCTACATTCAGTGTGCTTATGGGTCAAAAACAAGTTTGAGAGCAGACAGGAGGATCCTCTATCTCTGATGGTCTCAGCAGAATCAAGTTCACCTTGAGCTCTGATTGGGGCAGAGTCATATGGACTCTATATGAACTTGGTTTTTGTGAGCATTGACTAGTGACTTTGGTGAAGGTCTTCACCTACCTCAGAGCCATCATTGCATCTTTACTGAATTTAGTTGATGATCTGCCATAGGCTAATGACGGTTCATAATATTTTTATTAAATCAAAACAACCAGTTCTTGTGAAACCACATCAGATTTGTGAGCTAACTTTGTAAACGTTGGATTATTTAGTCAACATATTATCCATAAAGTCTATTTGCCAACAAACAGAACACCTGAATTCAAAAAGTAATTACCGTGTCCCAGCAGGATAGCCAGTAGGTAAAGTGAAAGAATTCACATCTGTGGATCATCATCCTGTTTTTATGTCTGCTTATAGCAGCTTCAGACTCAGAGCACCTAGCACAATTGCTTACACATGCAAAATTGCAGAAGAGAGGGGACATGGTAGAGGGGCTTTGTCTTAGGTCTCTTAATCACAGACAGTCCTTATATACTAGACAGAATCAGGTCTTGTTTTTCTAATGATGTACCCTTAAAGGACTATCACTTCGAGGAGCCACACAATGGGACAAAGTGGTGGTTGTCACTATGATACAGATGATGGGTGGCTGTGTTTAGTTTTTGAAGATTTTTTTAACCCTTTAAATTTTAAAAGTATTTATTTATTTGGGGGATGGGTACATGTGTGGAATACATGGCACCACTGTGTACCATGGTGCATGTGTGAAGATCATACTACAGTTTAAGAGAGTCAGCTCTCTCCTTCTGCCACATGGGTGCCAGGGACCAAACTCAACTTGCCACACATGGTGGCAAGCGCCTTTTACCCACTGTGAATCCTCTTGCCATTCCCTAAAGGGGGAAATACAATGTCTCTCTATGCACTCCACCAACAATCACCAAACTGCTAAATCCCTTTCAGTGTTACAAAGCGTCTGCTACTGGGTGCCTGGGTGGTTAAAAACAGTGCTAGTGCTAGCAACCTAAAAAATCGTGCTGCAGAGAAGCGCACAGAGCTGGGCCACACAACTATACAGTGAAACTGTGATCTGGTGAACACTAGCACTTGCATCTGAAATATCCCACAAAGCCTCATATATTGAAGGTTTAGTCCTGGTACTGCAGGGAGGTTTGTGTGTGTGTGTGTGTGTGTGTGTGCAAACATTAAGAAACAGGGCCATGTTGGAGGAAGTGTTCCTTAGGGACTCTTGAAAGGTATATTTTTTCCCCCTTCTCATCTATTTTTGCTTTTTCTCCCCCTTTCTGCTTCTCGGTTGCCATGATGTCAATAACTCCCCCCATGCCTCCCTTCACTATGTTCTTCACCACAGCTCAGAAACAATGGAGCCACATGCCCACAATGGCTCCAAATCTATCAGCCAAAAATCAGTCCCTGTCATTTCCTCAGGCATCATGTCCCAGGAGCAGAAAGTTTGTTAATGATTGCAGATCAAGATGCAAACCTATATTTAAATACCACAGGAACAGACCCAGCTACTCTAACTGCTAACAATAAGTAGCCAGTATTTTGACAAGGAATAGTATATTCTTTGGGACATTAGTAAATGACAAGCGACCTGGAAATTCTTTTTACAAAAAAAAATGATACTTTATATGTGTGGGTATTTTGTTGTACTTGTGTCTGTGTACCACAGGCATGTCCGCTGCCCATGGAGGCCAGACTTTTATAGTTACAGGTGGCTATGAGACATGCCAGGATTTGAACCTGGGTCCTCTAGCAGAGCATTTAGTTCTCTTATCACTGGACCATCTCTCCAGCTCCCAATTTGATACTTCTTAATTTGGAATAAATGCAGAGGACAGAAATCAGAGCTTTGCTTCCTCGCAGAAGTGAATTGTTCTCTGTTTGAACAATCCTCAGTCTTACAAAATGCCGCCATCCAATACACACACCTGGAGGATTCCATGAGGAACATTTTGCTTTGCAAATCTTGAACCACAAATTACCATCGCCAATGTGGTAAAGGAGCTATCAAAAATAGCAGGGAAGGAAATGAAATCTCACAGTGATGTTGCCGTGAGTTTGTTAAAGTATGACTGACAGACAGGCAATGAGAGGGCAGAATCACACGAAAATGCCCCTTCCGTTTCCTGTTGTGTTAACATTGTAATTCCAGTTGGGAAGTATGCACTTTTAATGGTGTTGAAAGTGTCAAAAGTATGTTGCTGGATATGAAACTTCACTGTTTAGTGACAGATAAAGTAAAATACTAAAAACAGAAGAAGACTGTAGATTCTGGTTTATTGTATAATAGAGAAAATTCAGGTGATTTAGGACATAAAAGTCACCTCTAGGTCTGTTTTGATCGAATAGTTCCCTATTCGATCAAAATAATCCCATCACTCTAATCCCTGAACAATCAGGCTTCATTCCCGGGAGATGCTGCATCCTCCTAACCTAACACCCACTCTACTTCAGTTAAGGTACTGCAGTACTTGCTTCTGCTATTCCGATGAAGACTCTGGACCTCTGTCAACTGTTTCCTACATTGTCTTTAGCACCCAGGACAGTGCCTGCTCATATGTGTGCCGCCAGGATACAGCGAGAGAAGACTGTCCATAAAGGAGATTCTCTGTACCTTTCCTCCTTCCTCTACACCGCAGCTACCTCTATCCAGACTGATGACTACATTCATTTTTATCGCTAATTTCAACAATTAGTTTCTACATTGACTCTAAGTTATGTCCTGGAGTTCGCTGGATTTAATTGTGGCCTACGTTTTCCCTTTGTCCGCTAATTATGCACCTTCCCTTTGTATCTAATGTGGAGTCCCACAGCCTAAGGAAAAAAACCCTGCATTTCTAATAAGGTAACTAAATATAATTTTACCTAGAATAGCAACTTCCATTCCAGAAAAAGGGTTTCTCTCTGGGATCAAGCAGATGCTGTAATTTGGGAGGGACAAGGCAGGGGCTTGTGTTTCTGTGTGAGAAAACAGTTCTGTATCTTCATAAAGTTATGCCGCTGTGTGGAGGAATATAAAGAGAGAAAATGCCTTCAGCTAGCTCATCATACACCTAAACACTTTATTATCATATTAGACATGTGTGCAGGGCGGTGTGGTCGTATCCCTGCTTACTGCCCCATTAGAGAAAACGAGCAGAATATAATACGATATGCGTGTCAAGGAGAGAACATCTGTGATTATTATATTAAATTCCAAAAAGGCTTCTGAAAAAGATTGGTGATATTCAAAATAAAAGAAAACCACAAACCCAAGGTCAGTCTCCAGCTGCATGCAGAATGCGTCAATGGCCTCTGATACT